TATATATATATATATATAAAAGGTTGGTTAGAGGGAGAGAGATGAGAACGGTATTGAGTGACCGAAACAATTTGCACTCGTTCCACCGCGGCTGAATTTTATGAACTTTCACGGGCAACTCGGTGCGCAATTCATTACCCTACGATGCAGTTCCCTTGTCGGTTCCATTTGAGAATAATCGCGTTTACCTCGCGTGTCGCGATGCACTGTTACCTACTTTCAAGAACCTCGCTCGTTTCGCAATTTAAATTTTCTTGCCGGATTGTCGAGTACCTTTTAGCTAATTTTCTAGCAATATTGGAATACATACTATATATCTTATAAATAAACGCGAGAAAAATAATAGAAATTAATAAAATTTGTTTCTTTATGATGACGAAATCTTTTAAGAATTATTTTAGTGTGATGCATTTAAATTTAGGAGACTTGCTAAAATTTTTGAATATTAAAAAAATTGAAATTCGAAGTCGTAATAAAAATATCACAATGTCGGTAAAGAATAAAATTAAGATAATTATAAATTTTGAATATCATTAAATCATAATGATTTATGTTCTCACGATTTGGAGCCTTAAATAATGAACCGCGAAAGAATTTACTATAAAGTTACTATTAAAGAAACTTCCATCAGAAGTTTAGCAAGTTCATCGAGTGGTATTTCGTGCAGAATAGCTTGAACGTGTGTACGACGCGTGAAAGCATTAGCGCGTGATGTATTTAAGTTCCGCGTATGAAATCCGCGGCAGCAATGGCTGCCTTAAGCACTCTCGCAGCAGCTGGCATTACAATTTGGAAATCCTCCATTAAATAAGCCAACTTGAGAAACTTTGCTGCTCGTCCACGATAGACGTTTTAGATTTTAATTAAGTTCGACTTGAAAATTTTTACTTCTTCTTGAAGATTTTTATCGAGCCGCTTATAAATCCTCCCTGATCTATGTTTCTTTCAAATATGAAGATAGATTGACGAAATCTGAATTCGATTTTGCACACATACATTATTTATATATTATTTACTTGCTTCTTCGAGTAAGAATTGATTTGAAAAAATCGTGATGTAATAGCCAATAAAATTCTATCCACAAATTAAATATCGTCGATCGAAGCTCGTGGAAGTACGGGTCAGCAACCAATATTTTTCACAGAGATCTAATCCATTCCTACGCTTTCCATTTTTACGACCATCGGGGTGTCGATAGTTAACCTCCCCTACCAACTATTCCTTGAACATGTATTTGGAAAAATGTGCACATTGTGGTCACTCAGCAGCCACTAGTGGTCACTTTCTTCGATAGATACTATAGACATTTCTGGTTTCTTTCTTATTTCTCAACTATTTCTGTGGACAGCGTGTCGTCCCGTTTTGAATCAGCGATGGAAAATATTCTACCATCCCTCGGGTTTTCTTTCAACAATACCTTTCTGAGAGCTTGTACACTTTACCTTGATGAAATTGGGATTTGTAAAAATTTCAGCACTTGAGGAATACGGTTCTCGGTAATTTCATTTTAACGTGAAAGACCCATTTCTTTCAATGGAGAATAAAATTACAATAACAAAGAAACAAAGCTAGGATATTAAAGAAGATATTTCAGAAATTAAAAAACGGTGCAAGAATTCTTAAAAAAAAAATAATAATAAAACAGAATTACAACGATAAAAATAATATAAAATACCAAAAAAGAAGAACAGTAGTAAAAAGATAAAATAAAAATATTCAAAAGCAATGATAACAATAAAAGAGATAACGAAAAGAGTAAAATTCGAATGGAAACAAATTCCTGCAACAAAAATGCAAAGAATCCAAGTTCTCGAATGAAAGTTCTCTCATTTAAAATACTAACTACTTCTAATTATACTCGGAATTATAAACATTATGTTTCAGAATTTAAATTTAAGAATTTATATAAATAAAAAAAGCCGAAATATTTTGCTGATTAGTAGTATGCTGAATAGTAGCGGATTATATTTCAGAAATTCCTTAACTTTAATCACAACTTGATATTTCTCGTTGCGTCTCGTTGTCCATAAATTTATTTGAAATTTTCGTGAATTTATCCTTTAAAAGTTCCTCGAAAAGCGAAAGAAAAGTTTGACAGACGTTTCTCGAAAGATTGAACAAATCAGACTTCGAACTTAAATGTTTTCGAGTCTTCTAGAGGAACAAATGGTTTCGAGTTGGGCAGCAGGATCCTCTGATTCCGTGATCCTCAAAGTTTTACGTCACGGTTGATAGTTTTGCACTCTTGATTAAAGACGATATTGTCAGGCACAATTCGCCTACTTGAATCCCGCGCAAACTGCTCGCACATCTCGCTTCTAATTAAACGTAGAAATTTGCTTTTCAAGTGTAGCGCAATTATATTTTCAGAGAACGAGTAAACTTTCGTATATAGGTCACATCATTTTTCGTGTTTCTAACATTTTTCTTCTTTCCATCGCTGTACTTCTTTTTCGATTATCGTCCATGCTTTTAAGCTCTTCACGAAAATTTACCGCCTTCTCTGACAACTAGGTGAGTTTCGAATACATATACGCAAAGTATATGAGCTCTTATGTAGGTAGATAGACTATGTGATCACGTAAATATGTCGCATAAACACTCGAATGAAACGTTAACATTAAGTGGATTCGACACGAGTGATCTCGATATTTGATCTCGAAATTTACGCACCCTCTTTAAGATTATGCGCTCACCGTGTTGAATATTCATGATCAACCGGAAATGGAATGTATTCAAGGCGTAATTCCACCGTAATTGGTTACCAGCCTTCTAAGTGATAAATACGCGTGCTCGTTCGTTGTTTTCTTACATAGAAAATTTGCCTAAAATTAGCGAGATCGATACGGAAACGATCGTGGGCTTTTGGATATCAAAATCCGGAGCGAAGGTAAATGTTGCCTACATGAGAGATATAGTTGCTGGCTGGCAACAATTCAATGCGTACAATTGACGTCACGCTCGCACTGTTTCGAATTAATGAAGCAGAACCTGTTCGAAGTTTAGTGGCTGATAGCGTTCAATCCACAAGAGGGAGAGGGAGAGAGGAAGGCAGAAACAGACATAGAAATTGCGACAACTTGTTTTTATACAAATGTATATATATTTTAAACATATGCATTTCTATTCAAGGGACTAGTACAAACCCCGCGACGAAATACGTTTGACGCGCGACCTATTTCGAGTTCGCGATGCGACACGCTGCAGTTTTTGCGTGTGACTAACTTTCACCAGAAATTGAACACGAAAACCCCTGGTTCAAAGGTGAGATGATAGTGTCACACGAAACGAGAAAATTTCACGATCAAATTCTTTTTCGGTAATCTTCTAGTTATACGTGATATAAATTAATCCCTACTTAAAGGCAAGAAATTAAAAACCAAAAATTTAAAAAAAATAAAAATGACAAAATAAAAATTTCACGCTATGGGAAAATTTACGTTAATCGTTTCGTTGTGAATTCAAAATAAAATGCTGTGAAGATATTCGATTTTTCTTTTTTTATTTTTGCGAAGTTACATACGTGTTACTTGTCGTAATATTTTAATAAATTATTTTTATTCGGTTTTATCACGGTATATGATAAATTTACTACACGTGTATATTTCTGGTTCCAGTGATATTTTATATTACCTCATCTTTCAAATGAGATTTCGTATAAAAAGTTTTTATAAATAAATTAATTTCACGCTCGTAGAAAACGTTTCCTTCGTTAGCTTCGAATATAAAAACAATAAGAAAACATTCGTTTTAATTCGTGTTGTGGAATGTAATTATTAATAAATTAAACGATATTAGATTCATGTTTCCTAGCTAATAAAAATATTATAAAAAGTAATATTCATGAAGAAAATATCTCCTATATTCCGATGATTCTTTTAATATCGAGACAATTTCTTGATTTACGAGGCATGTCTCGTGAAAGACAGTATCGTGAAACCAGTCGTTCAATCATACTTCGATTTCCGTCCATATTGGAACACGGTTTCCGGAAGTGGCACGAATCTGCCACGTCTTCGACACGATAAATGCAAAGTACGTACTAACGGCAACAGAAGGCGGGTTCTGGGGTTTCGAACGATGTTCTGTGGGCTCTTTTTCCTCTCTGCGAAAAAAGGAGGGACGAAAGGGACTTTTTGATAAACCGGACACGTGCGTTCTCTTTTCTCGTGCATCCGATTCCAGACTTTCTCGTACAGAGAACCAGCTTGTGCACGCACTATCCACCATTTCCAAGGGAAACCAGAGTTTCACGTCGAGCCTGTTATTTCCAAACCAGAAGCTATGATTTTGGAAATTACAGCTGCCCTCGATACGGGAATTATGAGGGTTGACGATGCATACCAACACTGTACGCCGAGTATTCAATAAACGCAACTTACCACTGCTTTAACCTGTAGAAGGATATGCGACATCATCAAGTTAATAAATTTATCTCAAGATATATGAGATATTATAACTTCTTTCTTCGATCCTTCTGAATCTTTCAAAATTTCAAATTGGAATTTCATATTCGTCTTTAAAAAAGCTGTTAAAATTATTCAAATATAAAATATAGCTTGAACGGTGTTTAATAATTTTTATTATAAATTACAATTTTTTGGACATATCATCGTTATAACAAATGAGCAATAGATACACGTACATTTGAAGTACATCTTATACGAAGTTTTTATCAAAGCCCGAGTTATTACAGTTGCTCTTTGAAAAAGTTAACGCCACGAGGAGATCGTCGACATCGATACACGGTAGAAAATTGAATTCGTCTATCGTTAAAATAAAGAGAAGAAAACAGAGTAGAAAAGATCTCGAATGAAATCTTGACCAGTCTCTGGTCTATTTAATCGAGATATCGAGATCGATTCGGACTTGCTTGTCCATCCCTCCAACGCACACGAATCGATCCTTCCTCTCGACGACACGGACCATTCGGTTCCGGTTACAACCGCATCGAGTAAACGCGCAGAATTCCGGAATAATTTATACGCTAATGGGCAACGTTTATCTGATTGTTTGGAGAAACGAACCAACCGAGTCAGTGATACATTATTAATTCGTCAGGGTTGAATGAAACGTAGCCGTTGGGGGTAGTTCGACATTCATTCCGTTACTCACCCGGATCGATAATTTTCTCCGTATCGTCTAACGTTTCCAGATAAAAGAAACAAGAAGAAACGATACAAACAATAAACACATCGGCACGGCCTTGTATTTTAAACGGTAATTGCGAAAGTCTGCGTCCAGCCTCGCGAACTCCCCGATGGTTAATCCAGTTTATTGAGTTTTATCGAGTTTTCACGAGGGAGGAACTTTTGTAAGTAATTATTATAATTATCGTGGCAGGCAACTTTAAGTACCTTTCTTGCTTCGATAAACCGTGCCCCTTCTAACTTAATACCGGGATACGATGAACCCGAGTTGCGTTAATTAACCGGGCCACTGCTTGGTGGAAATTCTAGCCGAAAAGTAATCGACTTTCGACCCCTTGAATGTCTGATCTAATCGTATCCCTCGATACCTAACACGATTTACGAAATTTACAATAGTGTCACGTGTTTGTGGCGAGTCAGTGAAGAATATAGAACGCACGAATTTTCCGTGGTTATGCAAATGTTCCATACCAATTTTGCCCAAGTTGAAATTCGTGGGCCAGTCTTTGCAGGTCTGGAAACAGGAAATTGGACACGTACAAACTGAACAGAAGTTCCTACAAGGTTTTTGGTCCATGATTACCTATAGACTAGAGAAATGGTAGTGTGCGAAAAAACATAATTTTCCAGCGATACGTGAGAGAATAACGTTTCGAAAATCAAGCGAAACAGAAGATTATCATATAGTATAATTAAACCTTGAGGATAAAAATTAAAATTTGTAAAAACGTGAATTTGTTGAAAAATAATTTTCTGAACAACGTATACATAATTGCGAGTACTCTCTTTCGACAAAGAGAGAGCAAGATTATGGTCTTCGTGAACGAAGAAAGTCGATAAACAGAGCGAATTAATTATCGTCGCAGTAGAACGCAGCTATTCTCGCGAGCATGTTTCTTCATTGGACGAAACTGGATATATATTCAGAAGGAACATATTCTCTAAATCTACAATGCAAAAAGTTATTTAAAACTATGTACGAGCTTAATTATAATCATGAAATGTTTTAATGCCGCTTTAGTTTAAAATGATAGCGTACAACCATAGACGTTTCGCGATCATTCACGTGGAATTCCTGTTATATCGTATATTTGATTGCGCATATACGTGACCGATGGGAATGAGAGTCAAAGGGTTGATTTCCAAAAACGAATCAAGACTACGAGCACCTCGAGCACCCATGGCATTTGCCCATCCTTTGTGCAACTTCTGCGCAAAGGGGCTGCAGCACGCGGCAGTTCAGTTCTCTTGGAATTCCGCTCGACGAATGGCGTGCATTAATTGTCCATTGTTTTCCACCCGTTCTGGAATGCTTTACATCGGCTTCTATCGTCGTACCCGACTAGTTGATTAATATATCCATACTTTCCCGCTTCCTGTGGGGATAATGTGGAAAAATAAGGAAAGAGAAGATTAGAATTTACTCCCCAGCCCTTTAACAGTTAATTAAACTTGCCAATTAAAAATTTTACATTCACTTAAGAGAGAATATCGCAATCTTAAAATTTGGCGTTAATAATAATTTCTAATTAATACGAGAAACAAATAATTAATTGATATATGACAGGAAGTAATTTCTTTTGAAAAGAAGAATCTCGTATAATAATTTGTATCAATATCTTCCATATATACAATTACAATAAAAGTAAACTTAATTTTCAATAGCTTTGACCAAATATCTTGTTAATGAATTTTAAATCAAGCAATAACATAAATTTTCACTTTAGTTGTTCTAAAAGTCAAAGCTTTGACTCCTAAACGCACTCCCGCACAGTATCTCTTTCATTCAAATAATTGACTCTTGTTACGAGAGAACAAGACGAAACATTTAGCGATCCATTTCGTATACAAGGCGGAACGTTTGTTCCTTTTTCCAAAGCGATAACGAGGAAGAGCAGTGTACCGATGCGGAAAACTTGGTAAAAGGCAGAGAATAAAGGAAGTCTATCGCATCGATGGCTACCACGTGGATACATACGTGGAAATTGGAAATGTTTTGCATAGTTGCCACGGGAGATTCAGTGGTGGCTAGTTCGCGGACGATACGGTTCGATGGCGATTCCGATGGGCATTTGTTTTCCGCGGAACTTGTGCGAATTCGGAGATTCAACTTTGCTGATATTATTAGTTCTATCCGCGTATTCATAGGAAACAATCGCGAATGTAGCTGTTTGATTGAGACAAAAGCGCGCAAGATCGCGTTTGCAGATTAACGATTCGGATGTAACAATAACGCCAAGTGTACGCGTAATGTCGGCGTATCGGAAGATCCTTATCGCGCGTTGATATCAGCCGTGCAATCCACGATGATGTCTAGGAAATCACGATGCCTTATGTATGCATAATGCCCGACGAAGGGCGCGGTTTGTTCGCCAATGCGAAACAGAGGGAACAGAAATGTGGCGTGTTTCGTCGGTGATACTAATTCTTGCATGACACGACAGCTGCGAGGCGGGACGCGCAACCGAGCTTGCCCTTGTCAGAAGACTAATTCTGCTTCCGAAACTTCTATGAATACTGAGCGGCCTTGTGTGTAAAACTGTTCAAGTTAGAACGCGCGTGACACAGAATTAAATTTTCCGTTGAAGGGAAAAGAAAACTGGATCGAACTTTCAAACAATTATTTGGCAATTGGGGAGCGTGCAATTTTTCTCGTTTTTGAAAATTTGCGCGATCAAATCAAGGGCAATGCTTAAACTCGAGTTGCGTTATTATTTTAACATCGTTAGGTTTACTTTGGTAATTTGGTAACTGGATACTTTTGATCGTATACTGGTTCATATTACTAGTGTAGTGTATCGGTTTACTATGAAGATATTAGCAGTGTTGGTCTTTGGTCTTCGGAGAAGCCTCTCTGCGAGAAAATGTTTCCTCTTTTTCAATAAGAGTACATAAAATTAATATACGTAGAAAAGGATATGATGTAATAATTAAACAATTATTTTAATAAAAATATCGAAATAATTTCTTTTCTTAAAACACAAGTCTCGCTAAAAATATAACTTCGTGGCATTTTAGAAGACACGTCCTGGCCATCGTTTTTATACTGCTTGGCTTTTTTCCGGAAATATTAAAGTAATTAAAGCGATGCAATTTTCGCTAAAAAGAGTGAAAAGTTCCGAGTAAAGGGTGGATGAAGCGTGAAAATGGTAAAGATGGTTCCCTTTCTCATCCAATGAAGATAAATAATAGCATCTGAGATTATGGAATGAAAGAAAAGTTATACAGAAGAATATCTAAGTACAGAGAATACATAGTTAACGTAAAATTATATTCGAAAGTAAAAATTTTACTTCCGACGATTTTGCTTTGATCTTTATTTCTACTTATTTGAAAAAGTTTTATATAAAATTATTTCATCTACGATAATTAATTCTATAATTTTTTTTTATAATAGTTTCAATTCCTAAAGTATAAATAAATATAGAGAATATTATAGAACATTATAGAATATTACTTAGATGTATCGTTTCACTTTTCGATATTTATCAGAAGCATATAAAAAGAAAGAGTTAAATATTCATACATTTGCAATGATGAGTAAAAAGTATAAAATAACATATTTATTCTTTATCATACTTCAAAGCATAAAACAAGCTTAAAACAAGAACAATCTATGATTCGTGGATGTTTAACTTTTTAACAAAAGTGATACTTTATATATTCATTTTAAAGTAGAATAGAAAAAGAGCGTGTATATTATAATAAACAGTCGACTTTTAAGTTATTTATTATTTTTGTTTTGTTAAAATTTAATTATGAGATTTAAAAATACAGATTTCTAGTTAGTACGTATGAAACATTTTTTATAATATAGTTATCTCTCGTGTAGAAAATTTAATATAAATTTATAGTTATAAAAATATACGATTAGAAAGAACGACTGTATATATAATTCGAATTTTATCCGAATACGCGAAAATTCGTTGATCAAATTGTGACGCGTAATTGATTTCAATT